GATCACTGGTTGATGTAATGCTACAAACATCCCCCTCCATTGGTGAATGTCAAGATATACCTCAGAGCAACTCATCAATTCAGGACACATTTACAAAAAGATGGCCAATAGAAATGTATAGAAAATATGCTTGATGGATTATGACAACTGGTTCAGTCATCTTGCATGTAACGATTTATTCAATGCCTAGATGTATGGAGCAATAAGACTATTCAGCAGAGAATGAATATAATACAATTTGATCAACATGACAGAAGCTATTGATAATGTAGGAAACAGCAAACAATTATACAAAACATTTGCATGAATGTACCAATGCATTTGCAATTTTCCCAAAAGAATGAGAAATTGATAGTATGATGTACGCAAGTGACTCAATGATGTGGAGGACGGACAAATAGTTTGGAAAATTTCAATTCTGCTCTGAGAAATATGACTGAGAAAGACTGCAATTAAGTTCAAGTTTATATAGAGGTTTTTCCCAAAGTGCTAAAGCACGTATGAAACAGCACAAGTTAGGGACAGTGGCCACAAACTGGCAGACCAAAATAATATTGAATCCTCAAAATCGAGCCCCCCAATTATTGTAAATGAATAGTGAATAAAAGCTCAAAGACTGTGGTGGAGAGGACACAGAACTCCAGCTTGCTATAGGAGGAAAAAAAAACATCTGAGTTCAACAGTTTGCTCGCATTAAGAAGGTCAGGAAACGGCTTATGATTGGCTCAGTGTGCCTGTGATTGGAAAGTCGCCAGTTCCTCTGGTGGGCAGAGCGATTTCACCATTATTATCCCTAACTGTCCCTAAGACTGGTTAACCCTGCTTCTTCAGCTGTATATCACTTTGAATAAAAGCATCTTCATGTGTAAATGTCTATGTATTACCAGTTCTTCACCATTCAACAGCCAGGAGTCTTCTGCTGACCAGGAGCACTATGTCCATGGCATGAACTCAGTGGTCATAACTGCTCCTAGTGGCAGTTTGTGGTGATGCAGGTTGAGTCCCCCCCCCCCCCATCCAGTCCTACTCGGACATTATATTTCACTGGCAATATCAACAGCAGGTGGCTGACATGTTTTCTGGCATTTACTAGAATTTAATCATTGATAGTATGTATACTATCCATTTTCTGTAACCTCTTGTCTAATTCGTGGTCACCAGGGGTATGAACACAAAATTAGTAACAATGCAGGATGGGTCAGCAACCCATCACAGGGGACACTCACCTACCATTCATACCTACGGACAATTTGGGGGGAGATACTACAGTACAACAACACTTGGAGACCATGCAAACTCCACACAGGGAGCTATGGTAGAAACCTGGATCCAGGTCACAGAGGTGTGAGGCAAGAGTGCGAACCACCGTGCTAACATATCACCCCCGGTCAATAGTAACAAAAGCACAAAACTCTAAAAATAAAACGTTCTGGCGCAAAATGGCTGTCATTGCATCATTCAGGTGGGGCTACACAGTGATAGTAGCTGAAGCAGCTCCCTATTGCTTGTGTAAAGCGCTTTGGGCGTCTTGAAAAGGGCTAAATAAATGTAATATTCATTCATTCATAGTCATTTTTATAGCTGTTCAGGAAAGAAGGATCTGCCTGCAGACTGGGTCGGAACGTCTAGGTGCGAGCAAAGTGACTAATCAGAACACACTGGGCTCATGGGGGGTGGGGCTTAGAGACATGGGAGTGTTTCAGACAGAGGGTGAATTGAGATGTACAGAATGAGAAAAAATAATGTGTTTTTGGAGAATTGAAGTATGTAAATCTATTATAATAGATTTACATAAAATTATGAACATTGCAAATGAGCATAGTACGTCTCCTTAAACAAGGCTAGATGAATGCTCTACTGCCCTAACGTGCACTTCTGTGCCACTAGAGGGCGTGCTGATTCACATATCAGACAATCTTCTTCTACAGAACTCATAGCAAAAGTTACAGAGCAGCACGTGCTGCCAACCTTTCCCTCATATTAGTGGTAAAAGTGAACTCGATTATTCTAAACTTAAAATGATTCTAATTAAATACAAGCACAATCTGGGAGTAGCCCCCCAAGGCCATGCCAGCTGACTCTGGGATAGCCCATAATTTCTTGGTCCCTATTCTTGGCCAAGGGCCAAAGCCCATCAGCAACACCAGCAATACAAAATTCGCCTGGGGAGGGGGGGGGGGGTTAATTTTGCACAGTGCAGATTAAACTGGTTTGCCCTGCCCCAGCCCCCGCCCCATCCACTACTGTGCCGACAGAATGTCCATGCTCTACAGTTTAAGCTGAGATATTCCTGAAAGTGTCATCTGCCATAATTCGGTTCCGTATAGTAATGAGGATTTCAGAACAAAAAGCCTTAAAAAATTTTTTTTTAATGTTCCTGTCATGAACCCCAAATTGTCATGAATGCCTACAGAACGCATCTGAACAAGGCCGGAGAGGGGCATGCTCACCAAAACACGCACATGTTACTGAGGTAAGCCTACAGAACTACACACCATCATTCCACACCCACAATGAACACACACACATGGAAACACTCAGATGAACCGTTCTGATCCTAAACCTAACCTAACCTAACCTAACCTAACCTTAAACAGCAGCCAACACCACCCATCCAGCAAACCACAACCAAATGCACCGATGAAAGACTCTGTGCTTTGCTGGGGGAAAATCTCGCTTGAAGATCACCGGTGCTGCTCTCCAGTGTAGTAGGTGGTTAATTGCAGACCTTGTTTGGGGTTATTTTTAAATGTTTTTACCTTTTCTACTTTTTTCTTCCACCTCTAGACATAGAGCAGTGATCTTTATATCTCACATTTCTTGTATCTTTTCACTTTGCTTGCCAAGCGGACTAAAAATTTTTACGTAGTTCTCCAGATGGCAGGGTTCCGGCACCCATAATTCCCGCGATGTGGAAGGGTTGAGTGCACATTTTTACCATGTTCTCTGCAGGGACCGCGTGGCCTAATGGATAAGGCGTCTGACTTCGGATCAGAAGATTGAGGGTTCGAGTCCCTTCGTGGTTGTTTGTTTGCGGATTCAAATTCCAGAGTCTGAGTTATATCACTAGTAGGGCCTTTGACGTCCAGCTGTGCCAGGTCATGTGACCGTTTCTTTTGAGTTGTACTCCTCTTCTGAAAGCAGCTGATTTTCTGAATTAAGACTTGAGTAATACTATCGATGATGTAACAATAAATGTTCAGTTTAAAATTAGTTGTTTGTTAGATATTAATTCCTAACACTGAGTCAATATCATTTGATATTTATATCGTTTGATAAATAGTGGGCAGAACCGATCAATATATAATTGTACGAATTTGTAAATTCGGATGTCCCAGATTATAGTAACAGGCGATGCACCATAGAAGCCCAAGCCAGTTGGCAAACCACCTACAAATGACCCCATGCTATTAGTTCAGAGTAGCTGTGTAGGATGGTGTCAGACTATGGTTCTGGGCTCATAAGCAGAAGATTGTTAGTTCAAACCTTGTGCCTGGCAGTGACTGCACTGATAAGCCCAATCAGCCTGTCTGACCTGCGCCTATCCGGACTTAAGGCATTTTGGATAAGTCTGTTAGATATAATATACTCAAGGTCAGGCCAGTGTACCCTAGATCACAAAGAAAAAAAATATACCAACAGTGGTACCTCGGTTCTCGAACTTAATCCGTTCCGGACTCTGGATCAAATCCTAAAAAGTTCGAGTTCTGATCCAATTTTTCCCAGAAGAAATAATGGAAAACCAATTAATTGATTCCCGGGCCCCCCAAAATTACACCTAAATATGTTTTTTTAAGCATTTAAACACAAAACGACGAGATAAAACAAGAGGAGCATTTTTTCTTAATGGCTTCCAAAACGATAAAGATCTTATCCCAACATTACCTCTGTCCTGCCCCGATTGTCCGCTCCTTCCGTGTGCCACGCCCCCTCGTTAACCTCGTGTGGGATCCCCATGTGATCAGCTGTTTCTGGTTGTTGTCATCAGTCCTCTGTATTAAGTCCGCGTTTCAGTTTGTTTCCCCAGTCCGGTCATTGGGTGCGTTCGACTTGCTTACAGCGCTGGCTTAAAGCAACGCATTCTGATCCTGACGCAATGCATTACGGTTAGATGCATTGCGGCCTCTCACCCGGCTGCACAAACTGGAACCGCCTCCGTGACAACACACCTTTGCCCTTATTGGCTGAAGAGTTTAGTTACACACACGACGTTTGTATCCCAGGCAGTTCCGATGCGTAATCTGAAATTTCTCCTGAATATCAAGTAAAGCAGTGAGAACTGGTTTTCAGTTAATTTACCTGGTAAAATAAAGTTTAAATAACATAAATGCTCTAATAGTACACATAAGTCAGTGGTTTATTTATTGTTACTATAATGTTGCGCTGCTTTATTTGGTTAATCGTCCAGTCTGTGAAGGCATTCAAGTAAGAATTGCATTGTAGTATGACTCATTTCCTGGCACGTACAATTTATATTAGGTCAGTGTTCACGGTTCGACTTCTGATGTTCAGATCTAGCTCTAGGTCAAACTGGTTTGTTCGACTTTCAAGAAATTAGAGTTCTAGTGAGTTTGAGAACCGAGGTGACGTCCCACTATAATCTTGGTATTATGCTAAGTTAAATGGCAGTTGGTATAAAAGTGACTTGCATAGAAGACAGACTTGAATTGTTAACTGCTTATTTCAACACATCGATTCTTGAATTTAGTAACATGCATATGCAAGCATAAATCAAAGAACAGACATGTCGATAAGTGGATCAGTGTATTGATTGCTTTGCAGGAGACTTAAGTTGCCAATGCAGGGGTCTATCAAGCTTTGAAAGGATGGCTATAAACTGCCCTCTGACAATTCCAAGCCAGAGACCTGCATAAAAACTACAGGTTCTTGGGCAAGATCCCTTGAATATAAAGTGACAGGTACCTGCATTACATGCCGGTTATGAGGAAAAGTCACTTAAATACTAACCAAACAACTAATCAAACAAACCAAACATCACATTAACATTCAATCTGGAATTTGTTTATTTTATTCCCATTAACTGATGAAATCAGTTTGCAAGCTGGCAAGTGTTCTGATGGCCATGTATGGTACAGTCCAGTCCATCACTCAGATTGATCAGGAGGAAAGAGAGTGGGGGTTGAAGGAAGGGAGAATGAAATGACATTTACAACTTGTCCAAGTAGTTGTCCAGGGCTGGGATGCCCTCTTTCAGCCCCTTGCGCTTGCGGGTCTCTGCAACAATCTGAAAGGGCCTGGAGGTGGAGTCGCTGGGGTCGCCGGGGAGAATCTGCCAGTGGTCAAACACACACTGTGGGAAGGCCTGCCCTCCGGTGTTGGAGCGCAGATCTGCTGTGAAACCTGCGTGGAGAGGGAAGCAGTTCTAAAAAAAAAAGTCCATGTATCACCAGTAAAGACTCTGTAGGGCGGGGGGGGTGGGGTCACTCACCAAATGACTCATTGACTGGCAGGTAGGCCTTGACGATGAACATGGGCGTGCCCGTCACCTGGGCCTCCTCAAACACGTGCCCACGCTTCCTGTTCAGCACACCATAGATTCCACCAACCACTTGCTCTGGGCACTGCAGGTGGAGCAAAACGGGAGTCAAACCATCAGAAATGAGACGATAAAGCACGGCTTATTGACGAAAGCCCTCAACGGGGTGGTCCACAGACCTGGATCTCCACCAGGTAGATAGGCTCCATAAGGCGCGGGGCAGCAGTGAGCTGGCAGGCGTAGAGCACTCTGCGGGCAGTGGGGATGATCTGACCGCCACCACGGTGGATGGCGTCTGCGTGCAGAGTCACGTCGTGGATGTCGAAGCGAACGGCGCGCATGTTCTCTTCACACAGGGCACCCTGAAGGACCAGGCAACAATTCACCGAACTGTTAAACCCCATAACAGCTACAGATTGGCAAAGCTGATCTAAAACACTACGAGGCAGGTCCAGTCACTTTTACAATAAGTACTATAATTTTCCCAAACATGTAAAAACAAGCTCAAGCCCATACTCACCTCCTTGGTTGCCCACTGGAAACCAGCCACAACGCTGTCCTTGATCTCATTCAGGTACTGCACTCCCTTGGTCACATCCACCAGGACGTTGGGTCCCGTCCCATCAGGTCCAAAGCACCAGATCTTACGAGCCTCAGTCACCTCCCACTCGTACTTGTCGGCGAGGTAGCGAGCGCGAGCCTTGAGCTCCTGCCGTGATGACACATCTCCCTTCTCTATGTCCTCTGCCAGGCCATCGGGGAAGGGCCGGGCGCGCATGTACAGCCGGTTGTGCTTGTTGGGGGACTTGGACAAGCACATCTGGTCGGATTCCTCGCTCACGGTCTCTCTGTAGGACACCACAGGGTCTGATTTCTGTTAAAGAGAAAGCCCATGAGTTTAAATGGGTACATCACCAGGCACTGCAAGACGAGCCTTAAGGGCAAATTCTTTGCTCAGAGTAAGGTTGTCTTGAGACATCCCTGCTATGCCTTCAACGGCTGAGGGCATTTCATGTCTGCCTTGTGATCTGCTTAACCGTTCAGAAAACAGACCAACATAATCTACGACTGACATTCTCCAGGGACCTCACAAAACACCCGCGAGCAGCTCCTACCAGCCCAAGGATGCTTACCTTCAGTGGAATGCAGGCATGGTCCTCCTCCAAGTCCTTAAGACAGATCTCCAAATGCAGCTCTCCAGCTCCAGCGATGATGTGCTCACCAGACTCCTCGATGATGCACTGCACCATGGGGTCTGACTTGGCCAGGCGTTTCAGGCCTTCCACCAGCTTGGGCAGGTCCGCTGGGTTTTTGGCCTCCACGGCCACCCTCACTACAGGGCTGACGCTGAACTTCATCACGCGCATGTTGTGGGCCTGCTCGAAGGTGGTGATAGTACCCGTCTTCACCAGGAACTGGTCCACGCCCACCAAACCCACAATGTTCCCGCATGGGACATCCTCAATGGGTTCCACGTACCGACCCATCATAAGGATGGTCCTGTATCACAATACAAGGACAGAAGGACAAGTCGTGTTCAGACACTGCACTGATGTTGGCCTACACAAGCAGCCACATAACCGACTAAATCTTGCCAAGCCTTGGGACAGCCAGAGCTGTACAGACGTTCCCACTGACCTCTGGATGGGTTTGAGATACAGGTCCTCCTTCTTTCCAGGAGTGTAATTTGGTCCCATGATGCGCACCTTCAGACCGGTGGACACGCAGCCGGAGAAGACACGGCCGAAGGCATAGAAGCGGCCCTTGTCAGTGGTGGGCACCATTTTGGAGATGTACATCATCAAGGGGGCTTTGGGGTCGCAGTTCTTGATACCTGGAAGGGGGGGGGAAGCAAGGGGTGGGGGTTCATTTGGCATCCCCAAAACATCCCAGCAGCAGTTCCAACATCTACATTTCTGCTGTCCAATCACAACAATTCCAGTTCGTTGATATGAAACCTAAACTCTCACCTAACTAGCATAACGCAGACCAAAATAGAGTAGCCAAGGCTTAACCACACTTTAGGTAGATGGATAAATCTCGATTCAAACGACTTTTTGTTTTAACAGCACTGGAGCAAGAGCTACCATGTTTTACTAGCCATGCATTACTGTTCCATCCTAGCAGCAATTGTGCAGGAAGTCAACAGCGCCGTACCCATGGCAGCCTCGTCGTCGCCGGGGCCCTCATACAGCAGCTCGCAGCGGTACTTCTGAGCCGTGACAGGGGAGGGCAGGTGGATGGTGATCATCTGCAGCAGGGCCTCTCCAGCGGGGAGCCAGCGGCGCATCACCGCCTTCAGCAGCTGCTTGCCCTCCTTATCCTTATCCTCAGCGTCCAGCTTGATGTCCAGCTTCTCGATCAGCTTGGCCGTCTCGTCCTTCTTGAAGTTCATAATGGCATCGAACACCTGACAGTTTGGTGAGGAGATGGGCAGCAATTTAATTTTAGGACCACTGCACACATGGCCGACACCATGCAAGGGATTTGATTTTAGATGTAGTAGCAGATGTACACCTAGACAAGCACACCTACAACAAATCCTACACCAAGACTGAAGCGCAAGAGTCCCAACTGTACCGGTCAGATCTAACAGACACTATGACATCATGAAGACACACCCCCTCTTCACTCTCTCTGGTCCAGGACTTTGTAACCCCTCCCTCCCAGTCAGCATCGCCATGCTCATCAGACTGAAAGCTCTCATCACAGAACAATCAGGTCAAAGTGAAGAAAGTTTAAGTCATCCTCTGGTAGCAGGCAGTGCGGGTAGCATGGGAGACCCCCTCCTCCATTTCTGTCACCCTACACCCCTCACCTTGAAGATAGGGTCCAGGATGAGCTGAGCGAAGGTACGGGGAAGCTTCTTGCCATCAGGGCCAATGGCGGACTTGCTGAATTTGCCAGTGGCTGGGTCAAAGAACCTATGGAGATACGAACCACATCGAATGAGATCAATATGCCGACTTGGCAAAATCTTCACCCGAGGTGATGCCCACCAAGAACGTCAAGTCGGCATCTTCTCACCTGTCCCCCCACAGCTTCTTCATCATGTCCTCCACCTTCTTACAGCGCTCGGCCGGCCCCAGCTGCCCCTCCCCCTTGGCGGCGAACTTAGCCACATACATCTCAGCAAACTGTTTCAGGGTGAAGGCCCAGCCGTGCAGACCAGAACCAAAGCCCACTGTGCCGACAACCGGGTCGATCTGAAAGATGCAGGAAAATTAGTGCTAAAGAAGCCTGACAAGCATCAAGATTTAAAGCACCTTGTAATACTCTAATAACTATACCAGTAAATAAAAAGCCTACTATGACAATCCTTCACCAACAACTAGCCCCTAAGGGGACTCAAACCAGCCGCACCATGATGTTGCCCATGGGTCCACCCTCATCCTCGCCGTAAGTGGAGATGATGACGTTCACGTTCTCCACGATCCTCTGGAAGGTCTGGTAGAGCTCCTCCGGCACCAGCTGCAGCTCCAGCAGGGCACGGTCCATCTTGTTCATCATCAGCACAGGCTTGATCCTCTCAGCAATTGCCTGTCTCAGCACAGTCTCGGTCTGCACACACACACCTGAGGGAATAATGCACCATGAGCTTACTGGGTGGACTGCAATCACCGAAGGATTTAATTTTACATACAGCCAGAGTGATATCATACATGCAGAATCAAATCCTAAAAATGGCTAAATCAGTTTGGAAATGGCTCCATGTCAAATGCAGCAGCACACAAAGTCATCTTACCCGACACGCAGTCCACAACCACCAGGGCACCATCGGTGACACGAAGGGCAGCCGTCACCTCGGAGGAGAAGTCGACGTGACCCGGAGAGTCGATGAGGTTGATCAGGAAACCAGAGCCATCCTTGCACTGCTTGATGAAGGCCAGATCATTCTCACTTAGCTCATAGAACATAGAAATGGCACTGCAAGAAAGAGACGTCGGAAATGATTAGAAGTGGTGACTGGTGGGTTACATAGTCCCACATACAACTGAAATCTCCAAACACTGCCAGATGCTCTAGCTAACATGGACGGCTATTTCTTGAGAACTTGTCTTGTGTCTCTCAATGTTATTTTAAAGGTCGTACATATTTATACTCTTTTCATCCAAGGATTTTATTAGTCACATGCAGGGTACACAGTCAGACCATGACCTGCAGTGAAATACAAGGTGGTCCACTGTTGCCTACAGTACGGCCAACAAGAGGAGGAAAGTAGGCATTTGAAGGTTTAATGTCAATGTCTATGGTGACCAACACAACCAAAACTCCATCTCGGTGTATGACTGATGAATGACAAAGACTGACTTGAGAAGCCTTCATGTCAGAACCCAAGCAGGCCCCACCATCGAGACTCACGTGGACTTGATGGTGATGCAGCGCTCCTGCTCATCTTTGCGCGTGTCCGTGAAACGCGTCTCCCCGGCGCGGGCAGAGGCGATGATGCCAGCCTTGGACACCAGGGAGTCTGTCAGGGTGGATTTCCCGTGGTCTACGTGCGCGATCACAGACATGTTTCGGATGTTGGACTTCTTGTCCATGATGGCACGGATCTGGTCTACGGTAAAATTCACCTGAAAGAAGCAGGGTTAGGTCATCCAACACGTTGACAATTGCAGCAACATAAACCATGAGTAAACCAAAGGTATTCTCCGGCAGTGTACACAACACATTCAACAACCGTCATGGTCACCTATCGACTATGATATACTGATCGGTTCTTCAGTTATTTTTATAATTTTTAACGCTACTGTACTATGAACCACCACTGAACTGCGTCGTGTGCAGCTGCTGCTGCACTGCAATATCCATGACGTTCAACACAAATCTGCCAAAATAATTCACTGGTTTATTTCCTACGCATGTGTGCAACACCTGTTTAAAGTAAATATGCAATCTCAGTCTCAACATAAACATTTCATAGACATTCATAATGAACATCATCTCCCGAATCACTGAATCAACTTGTTAAATAACGTTCACATAACATTAAGGGCTTGGACTCTGCCACTTACTCAAAAATGCCAGGCAACGCATTCTGATGCGCGTCTTCGCCACCAGTTAACCAGTTTTTGTGAGGGAGACACCCAACATAACTGACCGTAATATTTAAATATCAGTAGGTCAATTTCAAGTCTGAAATCACATATTTATTCTAAATAGCGCTTAAGGTATGTCGCATTATACGTGGCGACTTATGTGGAAAGGCAGTGTGCAGATACCGAGAAAGCCGATTCAAAACCGAGGCCTACGACCGGTGAGTCATCGACATATAATTTCATTGAAATGTTAAGTTGGACAAGTAAATCAAAAATTGCCGCAATTCCACGCAACGCTAAAACAGCGCGGCCTATGGACGGAAGGGCGAAGGTTCATTTAAGGCAGTGACCACGTGTCCAAATGCCGGCGTTTCGGCAATGACGCTGCGGAGCTTCCATACCGACCGCTCTCCGAGCTCATGCGTTGGCGTAGTCCAGGATACCAGCATACGCCATTCAATATACACATTAAAACAGCAATACGCTTCAATACATATTCTTCAGCTTTAGATCCATCTTTCCGGTTAAGAGGGTGACGTCACGTCTAGGCGGACTATGAAACGTTGGTCTATAAAATATGCAGCGCTAAAGCTGGCTATCGATGAAATATGAAGACACGAATCAGTCCCCGAGAACTTATACATTTCTCTTTTTAAAAACGCGGAAACAAAAGGATTTCAATTTCCCAGCTGTACAGCTGCGGAAACCCCACTTGTCGCCATACAAAAGGTGCCATCTTGTGCAGAGGCCGCCTTGTCTCGCCGTCTATCTCAGTCATCCGGTTAGACACCTAACCATCCCTGGCTTAATACTCGGCCAGAAGGCCACGCGGAGCAGATAGGTAACAGACTACAACTTAATGAGGAATCCTTGACTTACCATTTTGACAGATGGTTTACGATTCGCTTTCGGAGAACGTAACACCCAGTGAGTACACTGCCTACCGCAGTTCGGGATAGGCAGGGAAAAGGACGCAGACGTCGGCGCGCACGGTTTTATACTCAAGTGCAGGCCTCGCGCTCTCTACGTGTACAAACGTGCGCGCTCACCACCTCGTGAAAAATGCGCATGCCCTCAAACTACAGCAGGGGATGCGGGGATATGTCTACTACTGTACGAAGAACAGACTTTAATTTAATCAAATATATTATGCTTATTATTATAAGTAATGTACTATGTATAATATATCTTTATTGATATTGTTTCATGTTCAAATAATGATTGATTTTTATGTTGTAATTTTAAAAACAATTTATACAAAATGAAATTAAATGTCTATTTACGTTACGACCTTTTAAAATATTTATACTGAAAGCACACATTTACGCAAAAATATGCAGGTTTGCCAACTCACGCATCTGGCGTGACACTCCGAAGGGGTGGGGTTATTGGCAATCCCTTCAGACTATTTAGATTATCAAACTCTTACATACATGCAAGTGCGTGTGCAGACTTGTCTCGAATTTAGAAAATCTCACACTAGTTAGCTGACCAAAGTTGGCAATCCTGCAAATGTATTAATAACCCTGGTGCCTTTTGATATAATTTTGGACATACTTGATATACATAAAAGTACTGTATTAGGATAAGTTCAGTTCAAACCTATATCAATAGCACAGCTGGATGTTATTAATTTCTATTTCATTTGCATGTGTGTGTCTGTGTGTGTATGCATGTACAAGTACTGTATATTATATCTACACTATATGGAAAAAAAGTATTGGGACACACCTCTTAAACACTGAATTCAGGTGTTTCATTCAGACCCATTGCCACAGGTGTACAAAATCAAGCACCCAGCCATGCAGTCAGTTTTATAAACATTTGTGAAAGAATGGGTTGTTCTCAATGAATACAGGCGTAGCGCTGTCATAGGATGGCACCTTTACAATAAGTCAGTTTGTGAAATTTCTTCCTTGCTAGATATTCCACGGTCAACTGTAAGTGGTATTTACTCCGTCGTGAAGTGGCAGGCCGCACGAAGTACCAGAACGGGGTGGCAGAGTGCTGAGGCGCATAGTGCACTATTTTGACTCGGTAACTGCAGAGTTCAAAACTAACACAAGAACTGGAGCTTCATGGAATGGGCTTCCATGGCTGAGCAGCTGCATGCAAGCCTCATATCACCCAGCGCAGTGCCAAGCTTTGGATGGAGTGGTGTAATGCACACTGCCGCTGGGCTCTGGAGCAGTGGAAATGTGTTCTGTGGAGTGAGGAATCATGCTTCTCTGTCTGGCAGTCTGATGGAGGAGTCTGGGTTTGGCGGATGCCAGGAGAACATTACCTGCCTGACTGCACTGTGCCAACTGTCAAGTTTGGTGGAGGAGGGATAATGGTAAGGGGTTGTTCCAGTGAAGGGAACTCTTAATGCTTCAGCATACCAAGATATTTTGGACAATTCTATGCTTCCAACTTTGTGGGAACAGTTTTGGGGAAGGCCCTTCTCTGTTCCAGCATGACTGTGCCCCAGTGCACAATGCAAGGTCCATAAAGACATGGTTGGGTGAGATTGGTGTGGAAGAACTTGACTGGCCCACATAGAACCCAGACCTCAACCCCAACAAACACCTTTAAGGATGAACTAGAATGGAGATTGAAAGCCAGGCCTTCATGTTCAACATCAGTGCCCAACCTCACAAATGCTCTTCTGGAAGAATGGGCAAACATTCCCACACACTCCAAAATCTTATGGAAAACCTTCTCAGAAGAGTGGCAGCTATTATAGCTGCAAAGGAGGGACCAACTCCATATGGATGCCTTTGGATTTAGAATGGGATGTCATGTAAGTTCCCATAGGTGTAATGACCAGGTGTCCTAATACTTTTATCCATATAGTGTATATAAGGTTACTGCTTATTTCAATCTATCGATCTTATAAATGAAAGAGATATCTTTGTGTAGAATTTATCTACAGAAGGATCCATACTGCACTAATACACTATTTGCCAAACTTGGGCGTCGCATTGGACAAAAGCGTTTGCTAAAAAATGTGTACTGCCAATGAATTAAAAAGCCAAACTGATCCAGCAGGTGGCACTGGCACGCAAAGGCACACATTATCAGCATTCATAAAGAAGACTCGGCATTTACAAACAAAAATTCCGGAAATATATTGCTTGGGGCTGGACATTCTGTAAGTTGTGTTATGTTAAGTAGTACAGGCAGCGGTTTTGGAGTCATTGTCTTGTCTTGTAATCTTCATAAAACTTCCCTTGAAGCATCTTTGGTGATCAGAAACTATTCTATCAGTATCTGTGTAATGAACATTTTAATTAGACTCTCTGAGAGTCTATAATTATGTGACTCGCACTATCTACAGCTCCAGATCAGATCACTCTTTTGTACAACCAGTTTTATCACGAGTAAACCAGCAGAACAAATTCAGGTGAAATTCCTTTTAGTCGTATTTAGAGTCTTATTGTGGTGTTCAGTCTTAAGTGAACTGAAATTTTATCAAAGATAAGACAAAATTATTCATTTATGCGTGACTTTGGGGAGAACCCACATCATTCCTCACTCTCCCTCAGACCATGTAGAAATCAGCCTTTATATGATTGTGACTCAAACTCAGGGAAGGTCACACTGAGTCCACGCAAAAGGTTACTCGCTAGGCTCTTTTTTTAAATGGTTGCCAAAAAGGTATTAAAGCTTGCTGAATACCAATTTTCCGAGACCTGGAGAGTCATACGCTTGGCCCCAGGACTTATGATTTGGGGGGGTTGGGCAGGCCCACCGTGGCACCCCTGTGGAGCTGGGCCTGCTGTAGGGTCTATATTATTTGTGAATTTTTAATGGGTGTGATTTCTTATTGCCTGAGTGTGCATGAGTGTGAATGTCTGCTTTGCTCCTGCTAAGTGTAGCTGTGAGACCCCACAGCAGCAGCCTGAGCAGAGCAGAGGAGCCGCTGGTGTTGCAACGTTATATGAGCTCTGCTGCCTGCTTGCACAAGAGGACTCTGCCCTTTGGAATCCCCAAGCAATAGTGATAAAGTAATTGTGCTGAAATCATTATAATCTTTCCAGGCCATTGATAGGATGCAGCTCCTCTTATCTACTCTACAAACACATTAAGAGGGACAGACATCAGGAAAACAGATTCCTGCCTAAATGTTTACGCAGTAGATTTGCCTGAATTTTTGTGATACATGCTCCTGATTGAAACGTAATACTTATACTCTAAAATACACTATAAAACCAAGTTCAAACTGATCACTTACTATTTCATGTAGTTTACCAGTCAGTCATAACATTAAAACCACTGATAGATGAAGTGAATAACACTGATTGTCTCATTACAATGGCACTTGTCCAGGGTGCCGTTATATATTAGGTAAGTGAACATTCAGTTCTTGAAGATGTTGGAGACAGGAAAAATGGGTGGGTGTAAGGATCTGAGAAAGTTTGACAAGGGGCAAATTGTGATGGTTACACAACTGGGTCAGGGCATCTCCAAAGCAGCAGGTCTTGTGTGGTGTTCCTGGTGTGCCGTGGTCAGGATCTACCAAAAGTGGTCCAAGGAAGGCCAACCATGAACCAGTGATGGGGTCTGGTCCGATCTTACAGGAGAGCTACTGTGGCACAAATTGCTGACAAAGTCAATGCTGTCTATGACAGGTGTCAGAGCAGACAGTGCATTGCTTGCTGCATATGGGGTTGTGCGGCTACATCGGTCAGAGTGCCCATGCTGACCTTGACTACCATGCCTACAATGGGCATGCGAACATCAGAACTGGATCATAGAGTAATGGAAGAAGGTGGCCTGGTCTGAGGAGTGATGTTTTCTATCACATCATGTGGACAACCAGGTGCATGTGCGTTGTTTACCCGGGGAAGAGATGACACCAGGATGCACTATGGGAAGAAGGCAAGCTCGCGGAGGCAGTGTGATGCTCTGGGCGATGTTCTGCTGGCAAACCTTGGGTCCTGGCATTCATATGGATGCTTTGACAGGTACCACATACTTAACCATCGTTGCAGACCAGGTTCAGCCCTTCACGGCAACGGTATTCCCTGATGTCAGTTTGAGGAACGGTTTGAGGAACATGAGAAAGAGTTGAAGGTGTTGATTTGGTCTCCAAATCCCCCAGATCTCAATCCAATCCAGCATCTGTGGGATGTGCTGGACAAACAAGTCCGATCCATGGAAGCCCCACCTCACAACTTACAGGATTTGAAGGATCCGCTGCTAACGTCTTGGTGCCACTGTCAACCTTCAGAGATCTTGTGGAGTCCGTGCCTCAGTGAGCACGAGGAGCACCTACAGCTGGTTATAATGTTATGGGTGATTGATGGATACCTGATACTTGATACCAATACATATTCATCCATTATCAAATTTCCATTCAAAGATAAAATATGATCCATCCATCTTCTATTCAGCACAGAATCAAAGTTATATAGTGTTTAATAGGTATAACAACAAAATATGCCCTGTTCTAAATTCTTGAACAACCTAGAGTGTCGAATAAAAGAGAATCTGGTTCTATGTAAGAAAAATAGCCAGTCATGTTTTACTCAGTATTTTGTATCATTTTATATTATTAATCCTCAAGCGGTACGTGTGGAATCATTGCCGAACAAATGAGTTATGCATGTCATACTGTTTTTTTTAATAATTTTTTTCAAATTACTGTCATGTATTTAATAATGGAACGCAGAGCAATACAATGCAGTAGAACAGGAATGCAGACACGCAACAGAAAAGAGGGGAGGCTGATGTAAAAAATAATCAATAACACAGCAAAGCAGAAAGGAGAAAGCGGAAGAAAAATCAATGGTAGTAAGAGGAAAGAAAACAAGTTTGGCCAATGGGACAGAAGTGAGGCAAAAGGTCACAACATATTATCAACAGAGAAAGATGGACAGAGAAGAAGGCAGCTCATTATCATGTATAGGCAGTAGGCAATAGAGGTCGAAAGTTCAGGTCCTGAAAGTACAAATCCAGACCAAGGTTTTGTTTCAACCGAACAGTTCAGTATAAAGCGTCACATCCACAGAGTAGCCAACTGGTCGTTTGAAACAAAATCTTGGTCTGGATTTGTACTTTCAGGACCTGAACTTTCCACCTCTGGTAGGCAAAATGATACTATTGCTATGTTGCGTTCTGTTCGGAATTCTGCTTTAGGAAGAATAGAACAATGGTGATGTACTGAACGCTATATATTTACATAGATCTATATCTATAGCATCACAATATGAATAAGCTCCAGAATAGTGCTGGAATAGATTAGTATTCACTTTATCATGTTTTATGTCATTAAGGTGATGTCCTAAATATTTTTTTAAAAATTGAAAAATATTAATTTGGATGGAATATAGGGGAAGCAACAGGATTTATCCAATATCCTGAACTATCTAAACAATAATTAGGAACTTTGTTTGGTCCATGTGGTTCTGAAATAGCAACGGCGGTTGATTTTTTTGGTTTTAAGTTACCAGAACATTGCTTGTGTATCCCAGGCTAGCTGAGTTACACTGACCATTTTGGGGCAAATTGTGAAATGCTGGTCTATGTAAATATGATGTTTAATGTTACCTGTCTAGCCAAGTAAACACAGAAGGACATCCCTGCGGACTGAAATGCAGAAATGTATTGCGAATTAAAATGAGATCATAATTTCAACCCTGGACTTGAGATAACAGAAAGGGCGTTGAAAAAAAAGCATTATCTCATATTACCAGATGCACAATAAGAACACACCCATGCATATCCTCATATGTGCTGATGCATGCTGGGATCGCGTAATGGTAAGACATGTGCATGTTTTATAAATGTATGCAGTACACTGCAAAATACATGCCAATGTCCAATCCTATAATAACCTTATTCGATTTTATTATTTTAAATGAAAGAAATCATAATCAAAGTAAATAAAAAAATACTATTTCATTCTAAGCACAACCGTCACTAGAACTGATTTGCAGATGGATAGATTTTAATTCTACTTACAAAATATGTGTTAAATTTGGCACATAATCATCAAGTCAAGTTGTTAAAAACAAGATGGTAGGGATGAAATCTGAGAAAATCCACACCCTAAATATAGATGCATTATTCAAAAAGGTTTATGGAGAAAAGCAAACAAATACACAAGTTTGTGTGGTAGTATGTTAGGAAGAATTATTCCGGTATCAGGCAACAATAAAGCAGAAACATTAAAGTGTTTAAAAGAATCGGAGAAGCAGACCGGTTGTACTAACAATAAGCACAACATGCAGCAAACAGGACCTGATTAAATTAAAAATATCAGTCCTATAAGACAGATGATAGAAAAGAAGCCACATATTCACAACTTTATGACAATGAATAGCAGAGGGCACAACATTGTGTACTCATTTATTTTATTTATATACTCATTTACAAGCAATGTTTACAGATTTGTGTGTGTCTATTGACTCTGGATGCTCTGTTTAAAAAAACCAACAAATCGTTAATTGTGTGAAAGGTAATCTTTCATGAGTCACTGCAAAAAATATGATCCCTGAGAACCTGAATACTACAATCTTTACAGGGAGGGGCCTGCGCGTTAAGCACCTCCTCACGACACGCCTGATTGGTGGAGCAGGTTCCGTCTGTCACGGCATGGCAGCCAATATGGAGGCCTTGGATTGGAAGCATTGACTGCTTTGTTGGAGTTTAAACTTTGCCCCACAGCAGAGTCGTGCAGAGACGCAGAGGCGAGGAGTCACGATGCTCCAAGGCACTGGTGTCTAACAAGGAAAAAGACATTTTTTCCCCCCCATCTCAATACTTGAGTTTTATTCCAGCTGCCACTTTGGAACCTGTAGGATGGCACATGACCCAAACAAGGTATGTAAATGGATTTCACTTTGTTATTATTCAACTTTTCAGACAACCAGCAGTTTAAGTTATCATCCAGTGGGTCATGCTGATCTCTGGGAATTACAGTCCAAAGTACAAAATTGGTCTACAGCAGTTTTTCCAGAATCTGTGTTGACACTTGTATTCATTTAAGAAGATTCAAGAATAATAGCCAATTAAAAAAAAATACAAATTTCAGCTCAGGTTCAGGCAATTTGTCATTAATATAGCTTGTGTGTCTTCTTGTTGATTTCCACACATTACCTTCAGCTGTTCCTATGTAAAAAAATCCTCTGCTTTATATGATTTACCATTAATGTGAAATTGCCATATGATTCATATTATTCAAGAGCTATAGCAGGAAATACTGCGAAATGCACTCTAATATCTTGACGCGAAGCGTCACATTTGCTGGTCTTTACTGGACCCCACTGTGCCGCTGGAGTGAAAGTGAATGTGCAGGGAAAAAAAAATGATGCTGACAATTTTAAATGACAAGGAAGTATTAACCTCAAATGATGTGTTGCTTGCATATATAAGAATTTTGGGAATTCAATCTCAAAAAAAGCAATAAATAACACTGACACTGGCATCTGAAGAAGACGCGAAACATTTGTATTTATTTCACACACCAAACGACTTTTTTGTGATCACCTGATTCGGCACACATGTGCTGCTGTATAACCATAAATTAATCTTGTGTCGGTGTCCCCCAGGGTTACGATGGGATGGAACTCCTCGACCTCTTATTCGATCAGACGGACGGAATCCTGCGTCACGAGGGAATAGTGAGCCCGAGAGTGTGGTCAGTGCAAAATAACATCATGCATGACAGCACTGTCCTGTCAGCCTACAGTCAGTTTCCCCCTGTGAGTGATGTGTCTCAAACAGCCTCTGCTATTGGCTGCTCACGGTGCCGCTTCCTGGATCTGACCCGCGCGCCCGTGTGTTCCTAAGTCCTGCATTTGTGCGTCCGGTTGCAGGTCCTGAGTGCTGCGGACTGTGGCAGCAGTGACACCTTCATGGACACCCTGCTGAGCCGCAATGACTCTCTCTCCGCCTCGGGGTCCCCCTTGTGGTCTCCCTCACCCAGTGACAGCGGGATCAGTGAGGACCCCCCTTCAGACCACATGGACAGCCCCCCACCCCCCGAGAGTCCCCCACTGGAGACCCAGTGTTTCCACAGCCCCCCTGTCCGCACGGTCGCTCTGGAACACATGGATGGCGATGTCTCCATCAATCTGGGTGAGACACCTGGGCGGCCATTTTAAACACTGAAAGTTACCTTGTACTGCATGTCAAATGTAAATATTAAACTCCGATTAGTAGATGTAATGTCCCCCAAATGACGGCAGTCTCTTGCCCACAGATGGCTGGGAGGCGGGCTTCTTCCCGGAGAATACTGCTCAGAGGGCCCAGCTCTCCATGGGGACGCCACTCACTATCAAAGACCTGCTGCTTTCTGGCACCAGTGAGCCGGTGGGTATTGGGGGGCGACTGAGAAAATCCCTACGATTACAGAAACCACGTTAGCCTTAGTACAGTGTTTCCCAACCTGGTCCTCGGGGTCCTGCAGACGGCCCATGATTTTGCTCCCTCCGAGCTCCCTGCCGGACGGCCCGCATTCTTACCGGGAGCAACAACATGGACCGTCTGCAGGTCCCTGAGGTTGAGCAAGCTGGGTTGTACCAGGCCCGGAACCACTATGAATGCGGCTGGGAGGGATTTGAAGGGTGGGCTGAGCTTTCGATTGGGTGGGTCAGGCCCACTGCAACCCCCCATGTATCTGGACCTGAGTTGTACAGCCTGCTCTGTTCATGATGCTTACAGACCATAATCGGCCTGTCCTTCTCTCAGCCCCAGCAGTCTGCCCAGCAGTCCTTCCAGGAGCTGGTCCTCAATGACGACGAGAAGAAGCTGCTGGCGAAGGAAGGCGTGAGCCTCCCCACTCAGCTGCCCCTCACCAAGGTAAAGTCCCTCCACGGTCTGCTCCCCAGTGCGCTCCCAGCATGCTTTGCAACATCCAGCCCTTTAACTGCTGCCTTCCCTCTACCCAACTGTGGCCCAACCAGTTTGAGGAGAGGATTCTGAAAAAGATTCGGAGAAAGATCCGGAATAAGCAGTCAGCCCAGGAAAGCAGGAGGAAGAAGAAGGAATACATCGATGGCCTTGAGGGGAGGTATGGAGCGCGGCCAAAATGCCTGGAAGCTGGGGGCAAGAGTGCCGCTAGAGATTCAGGACCCCATGAAAGCATATCATATTGGGTCCCCCAACCCAGACAAATCCAGTTATGTTCTATATATTTCAGGGCCCCTGTCACTCACTTTTGGCACCCTTAACTGGGGGTGACATCCTCAAAGACTCAATGAAACGCTTAAAAACCAGGCCCTGTAAACCAGAATGACTGTCGTGCTCATTAACCACGCTAATTTCTGATTGGCAGCAGAAGCGGCTAATGAGTTTTCTTCCAGCAGAATGGCAGCCTGTAACGCACACAACCAGGAACTCCAGAGAAAAGTCCTGCAACTGGAGAAAACCAACACGTATGTTATGCCACTATATCCCGCAGGAAGAGGGTGTTCATATGTTTGCGCAGTCAATGACACCTTCCTATCCATGCCGCAGGTCTCTGGTGGAGCAGCTGCGCAGGCTGCAGGCACTGGTCATGAATGGCTCCAATAAAATGGCTCAGACTGGCACCTGCATCTTGGTAAGGACGGCTGTCCCGAGAAAGAGGCACCACCATCACTCGTGGCTGTGAGTTAGGTGATGCTGAACATTTTCTTCATCCTCTCTTCGCCCAGGTGCTGCTTCTGTCCTTCTCTCTCATCCTTTTTCCCAGCCTGGAACCCTTCTCCTCCAGCAGGATCAGCGAAAAGACAACAGACTTCAGTGCAGTCAGAGGTTAGTCACCTTTCCATACTTGGCCAAATTCCCGGAGCAGCCCTGGATTCAGCGGAAGCCAGTGTACAGTGTACATGTGCCCTGGCTCATGTATGGTCCCTTGCCTCTCACCCTGCTCACTGCAGTCCAGTCACGGTCACTGCACTCTGTGGTTGAGGCACCGCAGACCCTTCCGGCGTTTTTGGTGGATCGGGGAGTCGAGGCCGTCGGAGCATTGCTGGCTAAGATGCAACTGAGGTCAGATTTCCCAGAATCCAGTGCCATCCCTCACAATCATACCCTGGAGGAGCGACATAATCGCCATGGAGACCCCATCACGGGTCACGTTGCCACGGTGACCTGGCCCACAGCACAGGACACAACACTTCGTCCGCATGCCGATGATATGTAAGGTTTGACAAAAAAAAAAATAGGTGTAAATTAATATCACAGAGGACTTATTTTTCTGTCTTTCCTCATCCTTCTCTACAAATGCAGAATATTGATCTAGGACCTTTGCCTGACAAAAATGTACATACTTATAGCTGCTTTTAAATCCAATCAAACTGAAAGTGTCATTATGAGGCTCATCAATCTCCAAAGGAGATTTGACACAAAGCATTGGGTCCCAAAGAAGTGATTTTAGGGAGACAGACATTTGTTATTATAGTTTTTACATTTTTTGTTTGTTGTTTCTTATGTTTTGTCAAAATTTTACTAACAGTATCATGATATGATGGTGATTTTTCTAAGACAGTCGAGGGGATAAATTAATTAAATGATGCATTGGGATGGCAATGTGTTAATTTTCTTTGTGCAAACAAATTCTGGTCCAACGTCATGCATGAACAAGATCAGTAGGAACCTGGGTTCTGCTGAAAACATTCCTTACATGAAGTGCTTAAGCGTAGTTTGGAAAAACTCCATGAAAATTCTGTGGACTGATTTCATTAACTGGTGTGTTTCATATGTTGTGTATGAATACTCTCTGTCAAGCCTGTGTGTCCATTGGAGTATCACAGGAACTTCTGTCTTATGAAAATGCAGGAAAAATAATCCATGCTTTCACTCTTTCTTTAGAACACTGTAAATAGAATGTAAAAAAAAAATACTGGGTCACTGCGGTAGGAGCCATTCTAACAGAGAAGAATAGGAAGGTCCTGATTAATTGGCAGGTGATGGACAGGAAGCAGAAGTGTCAGGGATGATGCTAATTAGTTGATCGCTTTGATAATCGGCATCTATGTCTCCATCTTTTTCTGTGTGTGTATTGTATCTATACATAACCCTATATATATATGTATGAGTATATGTGCACATATTCTGTCTGTAACTGCATGTTACTATATCTGCAGGTGTGTTAGGGCCAAGGCCTGGAGCCAGAAATCAATTTCGAGGGGTTCAAACTTGTTGCTGATTGGGAGCAAACAGATTTTGGGGTGTGATTTTATTGCCTGTCTATGTGCCTGTTAGGCATTTTGTCTGTGTTTTGCATCTGCCTATTGCTGCCTATTATTAGGGCCACCCTGAGACACTCATGCTTGTGTTTGTGTGTGACTGTATGTACAGTTTGTCTGTACGTGTGTCTCGACGTGTGTGTGGTCAGTGCTGTGACCGCTCCTGCACTTTCATTTGCATCATTGCACAGCACTCTCCCCCCCCCCCATCCCACTGTTCATTTGTATCTTTGCTATGACTTTAATCTGAAAATTGTTTTTTTTTTTGGCAAGGAAATGAGACTCAAATAAAGCAGATTACGTTGAGCTTGCTCGAACCTATGACTTTTATTTCTGCTTGCGATTAGTTCTGTGACAGCTCACTGATACCATATTGCCGAAACCGAAACATAGCAGAAACGCAAATCACAGACGCATGTGTCAGCGATGGTCCTTCTGACATGGGCGACACTGCTGCTCATTTATCTTTAAAACGTTGGCAAGTCCTATTTTTTTTTTGCGTGTGTGTCATGGAAGATGTCAGGCATATGCTTTACCAGACCTGTCGAAACTGTCTCCCAAACTGTCAGACACAAACATCTGCCGAGAGGGTTGTTTTCAGTATAATGACATGCTTATTATTTTTCGCAAAGAAGGGTCACTCTTTTCAATCGTCATGTTTCCCTCTTTCCCTCTTTGTGATTCAGGAGATCGCTTTCTCATTAGCATTTGGTGCTTTAAAGCCATGAAAAATGAGTGAGGAATGCAGAGAGACACAGAGAAGCATATTTAATGCAAACAAGTCACAGGTGGATGGGTGACAAGTGTGTCGCCAATTTATTCACTCTGAATTACATGGGATTTACTCCTAGGTTTCTGCCAGCCAGTCTGACAGCCTGTCTGCACCACAGAAGCTTGTGATCTGCCTCACTCATGCATCGCTTGGGACAAAGGCATCTACGAAATAAATAAATGTAAATATGAGCTCATAGACTCACTGGACAACCAGTGTGTGCACTGGTCTTACTATCTTTCTCCCTCTTCCGCTGCGATTGTGCCAGTGAGAATTCCGAGCGCGAGCATTGAGACAGTGATGCAGGAACGCGCCGACTTGCTTGCAAATGATCTATTTTGGCGAGCATTGTGTTTACACTGCACACACAGTTAGACTTCCATCATGCATTTAACATCTGCCGTGAATTTCACTGCTCAGTGAGGACGGCCTTCGAGTTTCGAGCAGGTAGACAAAACGCAGATACTATTTTTTTTTATCCACAGTGTAAGTACAGACCTGACACGGTATGATGAGGACTATAGACAGGAAAATAGCCATTTATTAGTCCTAGTACCTCGTTGATAATGCACATTTTTTCAGCCACTAACCAAATAAATTACATAATTTTTGACCTGTGTGCTGGCCCATCTTTTCAAATGGGTAGGTAACATTACTGCTGGAAATCCTGGGAGTAGTAGCTGAGAGCCTGCCCATATCTAAGAGGAATCACCAAAGCCCAGGTAACGGACGAGGACCTGTACCTTATACACCTCGTGAGAAATTAGCATGCTGATCGGAGAGTGGCACCAGAAGATGTTTGCTCACCATCACCAACCTGTTTGCTGGAACATGGTCACTCATCATCAATCAAACAGATTGCAAGAAGATGGTCACTCATCACCACCCAATCAGTGTGCAGGAAGACGGTCGCTCATCACCACCCAATCAGTGTGCAGGAAGACGGTCGCTCATCACCACCCAATCAGTGTGCAGGAAGACGGTCGCTCATCACCACTCGACCAGTTGACAGGAAGACACTTCCTCATCACCACCCAGTTTCCACCATGGTTGCTCTCCATCCTCACATACGTACACACAAGAAAAAAAAAACCCTGCTGCAAAAAGAACATTTTATTCTTAAAAAAATACAAAATACAGAATAAAAAAAAAAAACAAACTGAATTTCTACAGATCCCTGAAAGCTGAAAAAGTATGAAAAAGCACGTAGTGTAAAGATGGAAAATGACAAAAATCAGGCACGTCCAGGAGCGTTTTCCCATTTCACATCACAGCTATGACTCATCCCACATTCTCTATAGGCAACAAGAGCTATAGACAAAGAAAAGACAAATCCACACTGCACATCACGCATAAACACGTATGAATATTTTTTTGGATCCCGAAATAGCACATCTCAAAAATACAATAAGACAGAAAAACATGTTTATTAGAAAAACCAAAGTGGATGCATGGAAAGGTCTGGTACAGTGTTTCTAGCAGGACTGTGTGTGCTGGTAGGAATATATTGCTTGCGCGACGCTCACTTAGCGCTGAAATGAACTGGCAAGCAGGGGGAGACTGAGGGGGACGTATCTCTATTCACAGAGATGCGGATGGAAACATTCAGGGGTTCTCAGCGCCCCCTGCAGGACGGCCCTCGCAGCACTTTGGCTCAGAGCCGATCAGATGGGGCACAGGTCGCCGCTCCCAGGCTTCATTGCGCCCTGGCCTGACCTGGCACCTGCCTACGCAGGGCGAGTCTGCTCCAGCTCTCCGAAGGCTGTCAGACCCCACCGGCCGACCCGTCTTCGGCGCACTCGGGGCTGGGTTTGAGTCTCTTGGTTGGTGGTGGAGCCCCATTAGCTAAAGCACCTTGCGCCTTTTCTTCCTTAATGGGCAAACCGTCACCTGGCGCGGGGTCAGCGGCCGAATTCTGCTCGCCGGCCTTCGTATCGGGGATTGTTTCCCCTTTCTTCGGAACGCCAAGCCCAACGACCGTCGCCTTCACCTCCGCCTTGTCTTCCGTCTTC